AGCATTTGCGTAGTGCTAAGTTAAACTTGGCATTTGAAGACTAGGGTGTATATAATATATATATATAATAAGCATTGAAGGTGTTACCTAGAAGATACCTTCGAACTCTGACGATTCAGCTTGGCATCCAGGTCTTATGTTCCGCCCAGTCTTATGTGGTTAAATACTTCGTCCTCGAAAGCTCTCAAGAGTCTAAGTGATGAAATAGTTTCGACAACAGGCCTTCCCAAAGGCAATGCTTTCTCAATCGGTGGGATGGGATGATTGCTGTATCGTGAGGACTCTTTCCACAGCCGATGCCACAGGGAACTATATAGGGAGACCCTGAGCACCCGCACTGACTTGGGTTGCCACAGGGAAGAGACAAATGGGCCCCTTCTTGGATCTGGGGCCTATGGATGTAAGGACTGTTCACGTCTGGTCTGCAAACCAACATCTAAACCCCACTGAAAACTAACACGGAACCTGAAAACCACTGGTCACTGGTTTGTAGAGGAAAACGGTCTTTCAGGGTGCCATTCTCAGGGTCCATGTTAGTTTTCGGGAGTTTATATGTTGACCGTTCTTGCTATTATGAAAATATTGGTCATACAGTGTCTGCTTCCACTCGTGACATCTTGTTGCTCTTCGCTAGGCACAAGCCTTGGTCGATGCACTTAGACTAACGATCTATTACAACAAGTCTTGGCTTTTTGGGGAACGCAGTCTATGCGTGACAGTCTCACGATCAATTGACATTCTATGCAATTCACGGATACGCCTACCCCTACGGTATACCTTTGAAGATCTTGGGTGTATTCGATCTATAGAGCGTCGCCTATTTTAGCCATGCTCTTCTGTCACAGCACATTACAAGACCCATTCTTGCCTATGTCATTCGGAGACTTGCTCATTACTACAAGGCAAATTCATGCAGTGTTGTTTTTCCAAAATGTTTCCAGATCCTATTAAGCACATGGACAAAAGGTTCGATCGCACTAGACTCACTGAAACAAGCATGGGAGTGGAACACCCCGTGTAAAAAAGAACAGCGACCACCTTGCGCCCCCAAACAGCGACGGTTCGCAAAATCCGGACCACTAGTTCTGGATCCAGGTGACATGCTGAGAAAGGTCGCGGAGCGTTCAGCGTTCTGCCCTGGGACACATGATGGTGCGAGCAAATGGATGTATGTTGAGAATACTAGATGGTGAAGATGGCTCAACATGTCCTCCCACCCAGGACGGCCCAACATACTGTATATATTAATTGCACACAATTTATTAATAGTAATACTATGATTATCGTTACTCCACTGTTCCAAATGGAACTTTGCTAAGAATCATCCCTTGGGTGCAAAGGCAGTAAGACACATTTTCCGGTTTCGGTGGGTTGGAGGTAGACGCCGCTGTATATCTGACATACAACCCCAAAACCAAAAGGTTTGTTCCTTATGAGGATCCAAAGCCTCACTCATTAACCTCGCTCAGGACGGAGTACTGCATTCAGATTCGAAGGTGCAACCTCAGATATCTGGCTGTTTGACTTAAAATAGAACATATCAAAACTGACGCGCATGTGCCGCATGTTCAATTCAATCATGAACGAATGATGAGACCGCTCCACATGGACTTAAGGTGTCTCATCGAAAGATAACACCGCTCCTTTTTTGAAGCGACCTTTGCCCACCCACACTCTTCTTGTATTCCCCTCCCTCCCTCCCCCCCTCCCTCCCTCTGAACTACTACATCTTTCGGCTACATCTTGTATATAACTTCTCCGAGCTTGTACTCCAACATCTTCATGCCCCCCACTTTCCACCCTTCGAGGTCCATGACAGTCACCTTTCACCTCGCCCAGTCGCTGCTCTGTTCGATCCCCCGGCGGACGGCATGTAAACGCGCCCAGAAGTCGATGGAGGCGCTGATCACAATGGCCCAGTTGATGAGCAAGATATGCAGGGGACCTGAGGTTGGTTGGACCTGAGGTTTAGAGTCACCAGTTTAGAGGCTTAGAGTAGGGACCTGAGGTGTGTTTTTCTTTTCCAGGACGTTTTGGTGAAACTTCATTTGTTCTGAGTCGCCTGTTGAGATTCTCTTGAAGCAGTCTTGGACTTTACAGGGGGCAATAGCTAAACTTGGGGCGTGCCCTATTTTTGGAGGCATCGCCTTCCAACGCCTTGTGAGGGTGCTTTCATGTTTCCATATGTTTCGATAGGAATTTTGGGTGGTCGAAACTTGAGAGGGGGGTGGAAATGACCAGCACTCATGTGAGCTACTGCCAAGTTCCAACCCTGCTAGCAACAGACCCTGTTCACATCCAAACGCTCTTTGCACTGCATGAATGAACATTGAAACCCCTAGAGCTTTGCAAGCTCCATCTTTTTCAGAAGACACCAGGACACCATGGGACTGGAGTAGTTCGACGTGGGTCACGGCACCGGCACACCTTGGCAGACCTACCTAGAAGGTCTTCTGCTACATGGTGGGCCAGGCCAGGGCTACAGGTTTTGATCCATCCACATATATTTTTACCCTATAGAGTGTGTGGACCAACCCTCCTGCCTATCTCAAGCTCCATCTTCAGCAGGGTAACTTCGACGAACGAAAAGCATCCGAATGTCAGCTCGCTCGCCGCGCAAAGTTCACGTCAAGTCTCTGAGCTCGAAGTGAAAGCGCGCGATTCCTTGGCCGCGGAACACCGTCTCCGCATGGCGCAGCATCCAAACTGTGGCCATGGACAGGGCAGCGGTGGAGAAGAGACCTGAAGGGACACATCGGACACCGAAACGCCGGCGTCGCAGCGAAGGAAAGACGCCTTACACGTGGCAGGTCGCATAACAACCAGGACCTGGAGACCTGGAGACGTTCATTTGCATGTTGCGGGAGCAGCAAAGAAGGTTTGCCCGTTTACGCTGCATGTGCTGAATATCCTTGTTCTGCGTGTAGATCTTGAAAAGAAGAACCCCCCAAATGGGCTCGACAATTTTGGCAGCAACCTGAACCCAAACAGTCTACATAAGAGCATGCTACATCCGAAGATCCTGACCCCATTGACCCGCCATGAGCCAGAGGGTTCGCCATGATTGGAGCGACTGGTCAAGAGACTCCTTAAGAAAGTCTGGGAGCAAAATTCACGAATGGAACACCGAAGTTCTTCATGCACAGAATGCTCAGAATAAAAAATATAGTAATAGTTAATCAAAACACCAAACTGCCGATCTTTGAAACTCATGGTCTAAACCATATCAAGACTGGTTGGTGTTTTCAACCCACTTTAAAATGTTTGTCAGAGGGTCCAATCATCCCCAGGTAAGGGTTGAAAATATAAATATCCGAGACCATCACCTAGAAAACAATTTTCTGCTGAAGTGTTCGCCCATCGTTGTGATGTAACTTCGACGCCGGGACCACTGGTTGTCTAAAGGAAGGGCCCCGCTGGGAGCATTGGGGTTGCTTCCTTGACAAGCAGGGGTGTCATGACTTTCCAAGCTTCCATCACAACTAGGAACCACTTGGGACTTGGGAGAGGTCGAATTTCAAACGGGACTTCAAACGGACCCAATGGGCTTTCAACTGCATCTCGCGGACCTGGGTGCAATCCTCAGATGTGATACATCATGATACATCCATCACCTGGTTGCCCGTTCCCCGTTCCTCTCCGCTCTCCGGATTCATGCAAAAGCTGCAACAACTTGGATAGCAACCAGCTTGCACCAGCGCCAGGGTCGCGATGAGGGATCCAGTCACACAACACCCAGAGAAATATTCGAAGGAGCTCGCAGACTCACATAGAATGTAGCTAGTGTGTAGCTTCGGGTCCTCAACTGCGTCCCGCACGACGTCCGGACGGCCAGCGGAGACCGGACGGCCGGAACCGTCAGCGGCGCAGAAATGCGAGGTTAGACGAGTGGAGGCCAAAAGAAGCAAAGGACTCCAAGGAAAAACAATTAATATACTATAATATATCTGAAACGAATGCCTGCTTTACAATGTAAACCATCATGTCTAAAATGGACGAATTAACAATTAAGAGGAGATTGAAGAACCAGCTGTTCCTGGATTTTTGGGATTGACACCTGGTTCGAAGCATAGTGATGCATCCGATGCATTGCAGAACTGATCAAGGGTGCTGGGAGTGCTTTACAATGAAACGCTCTTGCAAGGAATGAGGGTAGCTGGATCCAAAGGAATCTATAGTGGGTGGGCGAAACGTCCTTCATACCCTACGAGTCCGTCTCACCAGTCAATTTTGGTGGCGGTTTTGGGATCGCTTGCTTGCTGAACCCTCGAGTGAGCGGTTTTCAGCGCACGGATTTGGGTCTCCAAGCCTCTGCGCGCTGAGTGCACGGGATTCGCGGGAAGAGCCCCAAGCAGACCCGTCAAGCAAGTCCTGTGGACACAAATAGAGCTAATGACCGATAGCACATACAACCTGATAGCAAAATAACTGGTTGCTTCTATGCGCCCCGCACCGAGAGGGTCCCACCACTTTAAGACGTGCGTTTCACGGAGGGTTCCCAACGGAGTGTGCACTCCGCCGCGCCAGAACCGCACCTACCACGCGTGCGGAGCTCGCGAAAAATGTCTGGGCCAATCGGCCTGATGATCTTCACAAAGGTAGACGGACTTCTGCATCATCAAGGCCAACGGTGGGCCTGAGCGGCCGTTCGGTCGAAGCGACGGTGATCGGAGGACCCCTCATGAAGTCTGACCCGCATGGTGTCTGTAACTACCCATGGCTGGCATGGACTTGTTTACCAGACTTCTCCAGGGAAGCAACAAAACCTGACATTCAAAGCAAGAGTTAGGTATATATATCCTATGGCCAGGGCCTGAAATGGATCATGATGGACATTAAAGGCTTTCCAAAACGTAGTGATCATATTTCACCAACTCTTTCTGATTTACTCAGCTCACCTAAGTATAAATAGACCCCCAAGTAGATAAACAAATAAATTTCCACTAAACATGTATTGGGGCTCGTTTATACTGTGTCTATTCGGGGACCTCCAGAGGGCCTAGCAAAACATGTGATTCAGCATTCTCGCACCCGTTCGCCCCTTTAAAAGACATTAAACAAAACGAAACACTTGGTGCCGAACGGGTGAAAACACAAAGTTGGATTGGGGATGACTGGGGGCATTGTTAGGCGGGCATTGTTATATTCACCACTAGGAAAAACAACAATCACAATATAAAATCGTACTTATATGTTATTTATATGTCCTTTCGTTTGGCTTGAGTCATGTTCTCCATCACCTCTTAAAGGCTTTGGGTCGTTGAAAGCATCTCTTTTGCGGAAGGCCGCTGGCACCGTTCCATCCAACAAAGTGGGACGGAATTTAACGACCTAATAGCTTTTGCACGAATATTCTAGATCATCTCCTTATTGTAATAACAAACAGGTTGTTTTCTCTGTCAGAAGTGTTGTTATCCAATTGCTTTTCTACCCTTTGGTTTCAAAACAATCACCACCCCTCATTGCGCTGAGTTCTTTGATCAAAAGGCCTTTTTGAAATGACATCTGTTTGGCGGACAAACCCTTTTTTCAAGAGGGTACGTGGGTTCCCCGAATTGAATTATATGATTCTAAGAGGTTCGGAAAAATCATCATCTCCGGCTGCAATGCATCAACACTGAACCGCTGATGCCCTTCATTTTCTGGCCTTTGAAAGACAAACAAATATGTTGTTGTCACATCCGTTTTCTTCAATTACAACCTCATCACAAAATCGGAATTGCTTTGGGGGAACTCATCTCACACAAACTCCCATTCTTGTTTGCTAGGGGGGATGTCGACATTACCATCCTCATCCAGGGAACAGTCGATTATTCAGTTCCCAATTTCAGGTTCCAAGACCGTCCTGTCCCGAAGGTCTCATGCTCTGGTAGACCATACGGTCGTCGGGCAGCCCTTAGGGCTGCAGCCTCATACTTCCCAAACACTCCATACACCTTACCAATTGACCCCTGGAACCAGTCCATCCGGCCGACCACCCTCCCCAGCACCGGCTGCACCGGTGCCGGTAGTATAGACTGAGGTGCAACTTGCAATGGCCAAGCCTCGAAACGAAGAATCCACAATCAAGCCAGCCATCCCAAACACCCCATTCGACTGGAATATTTCCCTACATTCACACCATTTCAACCAACCCAATGTTCGTACATATTCCATACCTGGTCCTTCCCCTGACCATCCATTTACCCCATATTAAAACGTTTATGTTGCATGTATAATATCATACACAAAAAATATTGTTGAATTTCCTATATATCAGTTTATATAGATACATTTACACCATTTATGACCCATCCATGTGTATTCCATGCATGGATGGCCTGGGTTCTGCGGAACAATGTGTTTCCGAGACTCTTTGAGCAACTCCCCGAGACTCTTTGGGCAAAACCCTTCGATTCCATTCCAAAACGTTGGGCAAAAAATGAAGAAACCATGTTTTCCTTCACAGGGCGGCTCTATAGACTGCAATTGCACTTGGCGGGTGGAAAGAATCCACGCATCATCTCCAGCACCCATCCATGGGTCGTCTTGATACCGGGCGAACTCCCAGCGCGGTCCTGGCATTAAATCAGTTTGGGAATTGAGTCGTTTCTGGTTCTGCTTCGGGGGAACAAATTCTCTTCAACAGCTTGGGTGCTGGAAGGGGGGTCTGCTTCAATGGAGTCCTGGGAAAAATTGCATATACCACCATGAATCATATATATATATATACATACAATTATATACATATATACATATATATATATACATTGTTCAAAAGGGAGTCTCCCCTCTATTGATCAACCAACCAATAGTAAAAGGCCATGCCATGGTCCGCTTCGACGATCGTTGGCACCGCCAACTGGACAGCGCCAGTTACGCGACCGTCCCGAATCCTCCGGTCCCATGAGTGGATGGGATGGGCGGCCCAAACAAACGTAGCCGTCGACCATAGTCGGACGTAGGAGACTTCATTAAACATGGGAGGAACTGAAGCACAGTATGCCATAGTATGCCTGTTTCCAGGTTTCTCATCGAATCCCAGGGGCAGCAATCAGCTTGAAATTCGCTGCAGCGCCGCATCCTCACCCAAAGCGTTGCCATCACCGAAGCCGCCACCATGGCCGCCTCTCGGCCTGCCGTTAGCGGCTAGCCAACCGCCGTGGAAGCACAAACCGAGTGAAGGGTCCCATATGATATCCATATGATGCATAGTGAAGGGCCAAACCTTCATCGCCCTCCTAGTGGGTTGATAGTGCAGTTGACCCTCCTTCACATAGTGAAAGGTCATCCCAAACATGGTCGTGCTTCGCTGAAGCTATGGGACCGATTCACTGCAGGAGGGTCACCCACCCAATGTGTTTAGTCAACTGGAAGTTGAATGCACGTTCCAACAAGTTGACACGGGGCGGTATGCGAGTTGACACCCATGACATGATGGGCCCAAGGTTCTGACATTTGCACGTGCTGTTTCGAAAGTCTTCACTACAATGCTTCAGAATAGGGTTTGGGGTTCCCACCTCATCACAACACAGGCCTCACCCGGAATGTGTCTTGATGGAACTTGCTCACTTGCACCGTTCATTTCAGCTGCTTCGCGTGATATGGAAGGAACCTACCCTTCAGACCGGCGCCGAATCTTTGCGGGGAAACGTTCACCCGTCCCGTAGAATCACCCCCGCCCGCACCACGAACGTGCGTGCAACGTCCGGGAACGAAGTTCAGAGCAATAACAGGCGTAATTGATGCATATATATATATATATGGTATTACCACCTGTGAGAATCCACCAAATGAAAGCAAATGAAGAGAGAATAGTGCCAAGAAAGGTAGATTCGTTGCCCCCCTCATATATGGTATATTCATATGTGTAGACATGTGTAGACCATTGTAGACCTATTAATTTTTACTTGCCTATTAATTTATACAATGTAGGACACATGTATATGTATACATATCATATAGAAAATTTCTACTGTGCACAAAAGCATCGATGGGATGAAAAAACATCCCAAAAACAAAACATGACCAGCTGGCCGCTCATGGATGTGCAGTTTCTTGTGTGCCCTAAGGATACGGGCTCGCAAAAGCTTTCCTAAACCCGTGTGAACATGTCAGGCATTCGGCATTCCACTAAGAAGACATCGCCCATCCTGTTGCGGGATCGTACAAGCCCCAATGCACCGCCCCCCCCATGCACCGGTGGAAAGGTCATGTTGGATCGGATCAGTGCCAGAGGTCCGGTCCGTTCGAGAGCGGCCTGTCTGATTGATATGCATGGGTGTCTGTTTGAGGCTGTGAGGTCGAGAACAACGCTGAACACCAGCACCACCCAGTGGTAAAAGCTGAACGCACCACCCAGTGGTAAAGGCATAGACTGGGGTGTCTATAAACAGTAATAAAACATGCATAAACCATCCTTTGGGTGGTGCTGGTGGATAGAATTGAACTGCCCTCACACCTCTGCCTCAACGACAGAAGGTTGAATGTGGTTGCAAGCCACAAGGTCTATGATCGTTTGTTTGGAGGAAGACGAGGAATCGGTTGTCATGTGCTTGGACAGTGGGCCAATGATCAAAGTGTTGTTTTCAACATTTTTCAACGACTATATGTTTCCTCTTCACATTGGCTCGGAACGGTCCTGGCACTACCAAACGTCCTTACCATCTCCTTTGATTCTTGGCAATTTCAAGAAAGGGTTAAACATGGTTGAGATGCACCTTCTTCCAAGACTTGTGAGATGGGACATCAATGCCCTTCACAAAAAGGGCCCCAAATACTCGGTGTGACACAGTGTGACCAGTCCACATCGAACCTCCTTGGGACTGGAACGAGTCCACATTTCTCATCATGAAAGCGGCACCCCGCCCGGGACTTGACAACCACGACCTGTCCGGGACTTGACAACCACGGGTCAACCACAGCGACATATTGGGGCTGTAATAGAAATAGGGAGACCACCAAAAGACCTCCTGACTGAAAGAAGGAACTTATATAGTTATATATAATAATGGGGGTCCACATAGTCGCAATGCAAACCCATGCCTGGAGTCTCAAAGTACCTCGGAAGATGGGTGTAAAGTACTTATTTTATGGGGCCATGTCACCCATATGGGGCCAGGTACCAGCACTTTGGAGGGTCCCGGTGTAATGTAAACAGCGCCAATCCCGCTTCGTCACGGAAGAAAAAGCTCCACGTGGTCGGGTCTTCCTGCAGACCGCGCAGCGGTGCTTGATGACGGAAACGGCACGTCGGCCGGTCGGTGCTTGGCACGCCCGATGCCAATGTAAACGTTCAAAGAATTCATGGACCCTCCATAGCAGGGGTCAGGCCCTCTATACCAAAGTCTGGACCCTCAAGACTTGAAGCCTTTTCCATTTCAGGGTGCGGATTAGTAGGGTATTGAAATTCTATTGTCACCACTGAAGTCGAAGTCATGTCATCTGACAATTGTCATATTTGCTTCATGCCAGCTTCGTGGCCCAAGTAGTTCAAGGTTCACCGTTCACTGGGTTAGTCAACGTGGGGATCACATTTCAGTGGTCCAAACCTGACGTTTTACGGTTTGCGCCCTCAAACAAATGCAATTGACACATAATTGCCCAGGAACCGCTCAAATCTGGGCTGAAGTTCAACCGCTGGACTCGATGACATAACCGCTGCTTGTACCGACCGTCAATGATTCCTTCTTTTTCAGTCCTCCACTTCCAGGTAATGAAACCCTAGGGCTCCAACCTCCTGAGAAGGTGGGTGGGGGGTCTAACCTGCTCATGTTTCGCGAGGCGCCCCCAATCTTAGGTTGTTTGCCGGTGATCCACCTGCTTCCCGGGCCAACCAGCAGGCTACAGCCCCTTAAAAAACCAAGGCTCAAAAAACCAAGCGGTCCAAAGCGCCCAGTTGTTTAGTGCCATGAGCCAAGAGCTTGTTCTTCCCCATCGACCGGCCAAGGGGCTTTGCAGCTCCTCGGGTCAATGGAAAACTCGGTTCTTTTGATTTAGCGTTTAAAATTCCTGTGCCTTCAGGATTTATCCAGATTAATACTGGATGGCCTTTTCAAGACTTCAAGGCCCACCTGTGAGCTAGGACCGAAACCAAGCATCTGTGGTCTAGTTTGGATTTGAATGACCAGGTTGCCTGGATCCAAATCCAGCGAGCTAGGATACACATGTTCAGAATTCCTAAGACATTCTTTCTCCGCAACTTTGTAGTTCTCCTCTGCTGAATTTCCACTGCCTCATATGTTTTATCCACTCATGGAAAAATGCATCACAGAACTGGATTCTGAGAATTCCTCAGCCATCTTCAGTCAAAAACACAATTGCAAATACAAAGAGAACAATGAAACAACGACATATACTATATTATAGCAAAATACTGTTTGAACAAGAGACAGGCTTACTGAGAATAGGAGTTGCATCAGCAAGGATAAACCAGCTGCAAAGTCGAAGAGGAGGAGCCAACTAACACACAGAGTACAAACAAGTCACGCGTTTGCACAAAACAATCTTTTCAACAGCGGAATGACAAAATTTCTGGCAAGAACTCTCCATCCCTCTTCAATGTTCCACTCTCTTGTCATCGCCCCGGTTGCCTTGATTCGGGCATTTGTGTCATTTGTGCTGTCCGCAATTTTTGGATTTGCACTCTTGAAAACAACATCTAAGACGTCGAAAGTGCCTTGACATCACAAAACGGTTGAACAATATAAGAGAGTAACAGTAAACCAAGAAAGCCCCCCTTGAGATACCTTGAGAATCAATGTGTCGTAGATTGCAGGGCCACAGGTAGAACACATGGACGAGGGTAGGAGGACGCAAGTCAGAAAGCAACTGTTTGAAGACTATCGGTATCAACCGATATGTGTTCAAAACGTTTGACATATGCATCCAAGATGGAGCTTGGAGCAAAGGAGAAAAGAGAGGAGAACTTGGCACGAAATGTCTGCGCTGGTGTTGCGGAGGCGGCATTGCGAAAGTGTTTCTGGTGCCTGCCCCCACCCCCAAGAAAGTAGACAACGTTGAACAACTATACGGGTTTGTATTTGTTTGACGTTACCGGGCCGGGATGTTTGACAATGGGGTGAGCTTCGGGGTATGCTTCGCCTACGTCGAACATCCCAGCCCTACATGTGCGACGGTCAAAACTCCTTCTGCGTGGTAAGGTCATGGGTATCGCCTTCAAGGGTGGCGTCGCCACACACTTGATTTGTCACCTTTGGTGGGAGTAGTAGTAGGAGTAGTAGTAGTAGCAGCAGCAGCAGTAGTAGTGGTAGTGGCGGTAGTAGGAGTAGTAGTAGTAGTAGTAGCAGGAGTAGTAGTAGTAGTAGTGGTAGTGGTAGTGGTTGTGGTTGTGGTTGTGGCAGTAGTAGTAGTAGTAGCAGTAGTAGTAGTAGTAGTAGCAGTTGTTGTTGTTGCAGGAGTAGTAGTCGTCGTCGTCGTCGTCGTAGTAGTCGTAGTATTAGTAGTAGGAGCAGCAGCAGCAAAGAGGAGTAGTAGTAGTAGTAGTAGTAGTAGTAGTAGTAGCAGTCGTAGTATGTAGTAGAAGTAGCCTGGCGGTGTGCAGATGGTCACCTAACTGGATTTCGCGTATCGTTTGAGGTATCGCTTGGGTATCGCTAGGGGCATCGCCGAGAGCAGCTAGACAATTCGGAAGGATGTCATCTATCTTCCCAATTGTCTATCCCATCCAATACGATCCCATCCAACCTGATCTACTTCAAGCTAGGTATCTATCGATCCTTGGGTAAGGAAACCGGCTGTGGTTAACACAGCATTGTTGCGAATCACTGATGATGGTATCGCCTCTTCAAAGGTGCTATCGCTACTCACATGTTTTCATGGTTTATGATACCTCAAGGCGGTTGCCCTATTAAAGTCATCATCGCGTGTATTAACCCTTGCATACATAGACTGGACACCTTACAACAAACAAATACAAACCCATACATGTTTGAACCCACGGCACCCACATCTCAAAGGAAACACAATAAACACTACCTGAGAAGGGGGAAACGAAAGTGCAAAGCGGCCCAGCACATAGGAAACGGCTCCCTGCACGGTCTCTGATTCAATAATGGATGCCGAAACGGTTTCAAAGGCCAGCATTCAATACACATAAACAAAATAGTGTCCTTAGAGCAGGTTGCTGATGCAATGATGCACTAACCATTCACCTTGCACCTTCTGCATCACCAACCCACCAAACATAACCTCCTTGTCAAAAGTAAAAACACCAGCAGGCTAACATGGTTTACCCGGCCTGCCCCCGAGACCCACTAAAGACTCACTTCGTTATTAGTAGAAAATAAAGAAACTTCTTCAGCCTACCCTATCGGCCCTATCGGCTGGCTTTCGTGATTAATGGGCAGGACAGCACAAAGAAACCCCCAAACCTGCGCAATAAAGCGCAAAAAGGCTGCAAGGTCCCTTTCATAGGTTTCCCCCCTCCCACGAAATGCAAGCCTCCTCTTGGAGGCCAAAACCCGAAGAATCTTAGATTCATCGCATGCAAAAGGTGGACTCACACAACACAACTCTCAAAATGACTCCCATTTGCTCCCATGTCGAGTCGAGCCTGCCTAAAAATGCTTGACGTATCTTCACGTCACCCAGGTGGTCATACCCCACGGTCGCTCCTCATCGTTGGGGCCGAAGAGCATGCCCGAGGAAACGGCCTTCACACGCCTTGGAAAGAAACAAAAACTTCCCCACAAATCCACTTGGAGACTTGAGAGAAGGGGAGTTGGACGAAAGGTTGGTGAGCAAAACACCTCAAAGCCAAAGAAGTCGGGATCTACTTGTTGTTCTATCGGATTCTATCGAGAAGTCGGTCCAGATCCTCTGAACCAAATGGTGCCCAGGAAGGCCTTCGTGTCCATGAGGAACAAGTCTACGTGAAACCTGGCCTCTGGCAGCCTCTCAGCAGAAGAAGGGAGAGTGACCGCTGGCCTTGCCTCCTTGCCCCTCACAGCCCCTCACAGCCCCTCACACGAAATGACTGCTTAGGCGCAAATGGAACTGGCACCCCTTGGTGCATATCCCAACAGCTACGGAATCAATATGAGTTTGTTCTTTAAAGGACAAACCCCCAACCAATACCCAAATAGTTGAGGATGTTCATCTGCCATGGTCTCAGGTGCTTGTTCCTGTCTCTTTATATAGCCAAATACCCAACATTGTCGGGTCATTATGGGGACAAAGCCGTAAAGTTCAATTTCTTTGTCCAAATACTGGTTTTACCCGCAATGACCCAAAAAGATTGTAAAATCAAATGGTAGGCAGGCCTATCCGTAGCAAAACCGTATTTTTTCAAAACTAATTCCCTCCAAGTCAAGTGCCTCGTTTTACTGGGCCCAATTTTCTGCAAAGGGAGTAGCAAAATGTGACCTCCAAAAACTTTTCGTGGAAATGGTAGATAGACAGAATTTACTCCGTAACTGTCGTCTTTTAATTTGAAACTTAATATATATAAGTAAAAGGCACCCTGTACACTGTGAAAGCAGGTTTTTTCTAGTATACTGATGCCTTTGGATGAGCCACCAAATTAGCTAGCTCTAGGACCCAGCAAGTGCTTAGTGCCTGAACGTGGGGCCGTGACTCTGGCGTGACTCTAGCGTGACTCCCGCCTAAGCCATGAAATTGTTGACGTGTTTACTAAGTTTCTTCCCGTCAAAAACTATTGTACGAACCTGATTGAGCGCAACTCCAGCGTGACTCCACCATGACTCCAGCGTGACTCATGTCGGCACTCGAAGCTTTTAATTTGACACGGCAATGAATGGTCATCGGCTTGAACAAAACATGGCGTTTCTAAAAAGCAATAATACCAGAGTTAAACTTCTGAGTGTACCATGTGACCAGTATACATCTGTTATTAAATATAACTGTATGATTGCCAACAAAACTGTTCCGTGGAAATGGTGACCTTCAAGTTTTTGAAGGTCTAAGAACATGTGACCTCGTAAAACTAGGTCATTTACTAACAGCAGGACCTCGTAAAACTGGTCCTTGAAAATAAACACACATACACGCAAAAACGTAGCAACTCTCCCACAAGTGGCTCTAAATTAACAAAGCTGTAATGACAGAAAAACATGGTCAAGGCCGGTTGACCCAAAAAATGCATTATCAGGTGTGTATATATATATATATGTGTATACATGTGTGTACATAAATCGAGCACAACCGAGCCATATCTCATGGGTCTTTCCTTCACTCACAATCTAACGTACCATAACGTACCCCTCCCTCACAAATTGCTCGCATAGTGGTAACCTGGTACCTTGGGTGATCATGCCATGGCATGGCCTATAATTAGGGGTGTCCGTCAAGTATATGCGGTAAGTGGAGTTTGGAACTGGTGCAGGGTAGGTACAAAGGAAACACATGTTCAAACGAACTCCGGGAACAAGCAACCATGATGAGTTTCTTATAGAATGCCTCCTGTTCGTCCGAGCTCATCACCCCCTCACCATGCAAACCCAAGGCGCGTGGTGAAGTTCCAGGTAAAGCCACATATGACCAAACCCATAGAGATCGTGGCCTTTCTTGTTCCAAACAGTGTGACCAAAGGGTCTTCGTAGGGGTGGGCAAGAATCTGTTTTCAGCAACTGCTGTTCTTTCTCATGGAAGGCGCCATGCAAATGCCTGCTGCGGTCTATAGATTGTCACATCATCAAAAGAATCATCCCCCTGTTCATATAGGGGTAGGGGTAGGGGTCCTGCTTTCATATTGGGATATGTTAAGGGGTATAAAGAATCTAAGAACGATCCTACCGCCCTCGCAGCTTGCATGGCGATGCGTCGCAGCCTCCGACTCCGGCTGGCTCGGCCCGCGAGTTAAGAACACACACACGGACGGTCTGCGAAGAGGTCGGATGGACCGTGGATCACTGTGTTCCCTAGAAGTGGGAGAAGAAAAGGATCTACCCCACTAAGGTCATGAAGTCCCCTATACTCTCCACCTAGGGGGGTAGTCTAGGTCGTGAAGGTAACCCCTATCATGGGACTTCTATATATGCCCGGCTGCCCACTAAGGGGAGCGTACACTTTTAAGAGAAAACCACCGCGACGGTGGAGAGCGCTCCGTGGGGATTTTCCTGGATCGAACGGTGCATCATTCGGACGGTCGGAATCTCATCCATTGTGCCAGCCCGCATCTCAGAGATCCCATCCACATCGTCCAATGTATATAGACTCTTG